CAGCCTTGGTCAGAAGCTAAAAGTAAATCGTTTGTAATTTTAACTAGCGCAGTTTCTGTACTATGATGCGGTCTGAATCCTGACTGGAATTTTTCATAGATATCATTTTCTTGCAAAAAAGAGCACAATTGAGCGGACACTACTTTTTCTAGTATTTTGGACATAAATGAAAGATTTGAAATGGGTCTGTAATTTGCCAAGTTATTTGGATCTAATTGCGATTTCTTAATAATTAATTTCTTAATTTTTATATATGTATTGTTTTACTGTACAGCACTTTGTGTCCCAATTTTTTGGGAATTTAAAGTGCTCTATAAATAAATCTTGCTTGCTTGCTTGCTTAATAAGAGGTTTTATTACTGCCAGCTTGAATATTTTTGGAACATGAACTAAAGATAAAGACGACTTAATAATATTGAGGAGAGGCTCTTCCACTACAGGTAATAGTTCTTTCAGTAGTTTAGTGGGTATTGGATCTAATAAACATGTTGTTGGTTTAGATGCAATGATAAGTTTATTTAGCTCCTCCTGTCCTATCGTTGTAAAGCGGTTTAGTTGTTCTAGAGGGGCCATAATTGAAGCTGAATCATAAGACACCATAGAGGATTGTACATTTATAATTGCGTTTCGGATGCTTTCTATTTTCTCATTGAAGTAATTCATAAAATCATTACTACTAAACATTAACGGTATATTTTGCTCTGGTGATGTCTGTTTATTTGTTAGTCTAGCCACGGTGTTAAATAAAAACCTTGGATTATTTTGGTTATTTTCGATTAGTTTGCGGAGATGCTCAGCCCTGGCTGTTTTTAGTGTCTTTTTATAACGTGACATACTGTCTTTCCACGCGATTCTAAAGACCTCTAAATTAGTTTGTTTCCATTTACGCTCTAAGTTGCGAGTTTCTCTCTTGATAGCATGCGTAGCACTGTTGTACCATGGTGCTTTAGTTCCCTTTCGTAGTCACTTCGAGTTACGTCAGAAGTGACGGAGAATGGGGGGTTTCGCATAGAAAGCCAATCCTCTTTGAGTATTTAAAAACAAGCCAATGGCATGAAAATGCCTTGGGGCTGCGGAATTTGCATAGCGTATCTCCGCCTCACCCCGTGGGTATAAAAGGAGGAAGTGAACGCAACCGCAGTATGTTTTCGCTTCGGAGCCAAGAGACTTCTTCACTCCTTAAAACCATTCTCACTGACAAAGACTCTTCGAGATGAGCGTCCTCTTCAGTGTTGGTGTGACGGCGGTACCCAACGAGATTCTGCATCGCCTGCGATCTGAGCAGTGGTCTGCCAGACTTTGCGCTTCTCCCTGGACGCCTCAGCGCTGAAAGAGTGAATTTCCTCCTCTCATTGAAAGAGCTGCATGTGGCACGTCTTTTTAAAGATGGTTCGCCCGTGTTCTTCTGGTTGCGGTCGATTCATGTCATCTTCTGATGGTCACGATCGCTGCTCTGTTTGTCTGGGCATTCAACATGCAGCAGCAGCGTTCATGGAGGACTCTGTGGGAACATGACCATCTCTACACTGCGATCTAGACTCAATGATCTGACAAAAGTGAGAGTCCCCGTCTCTGCTACTCGATCTGCTTCTTCCACGAGAAGCTCTTCGACTCGCGGTCAGGGTGATCTGACGGTGACGCTGTGGAACAAAGCCCCGACGTTAGTTCCTCGGGCCACACCCCCCGCACCAGTGTTAGAGCCAGCGAGCGCCGATTCGATTCAGCTGTCTGCCTCTTCGCAGGTACCGTCTGTTTCTTTCGGCGCTCCAGAGGATGATGCGATGTCGATCGCAGCATCACAAGGCGGGCTTGATTCCTCGGGAAGTGAGGATGCGGCTGCGTTGCCTCCCTCGGGAGCGCCAGCGTTGCCCGTGTCTGATCCCGAGTTGACGACCATGCTATCTCGGGCCGCCGTGAGTATCGGGTTAGAGTGGAACCCTCCGCCCTGCCCCGATCTCTCACGGATGGATAATTGGTTTTTGGAAGGTAGACGAAGGTAGCCGCTCGCTCCGTTGGTCAGGTGATGGCCACTAGCGTGGTCCAGGAGCGCCATCTCTGGCTTAACCAGGACTCGTCTGCTCGACGCCCCGCTCTCCCAGGTTGGCCTTTTCGGCGGTGCAGTCGAGGACTTTGCCCAGCAGTTCTCGACTGCCCAGAAGCAGACGGAGGCGATCAAACATATTCTGCCCCGACGGCCAGCTGCTGCCTCCACCCAGCCGTCTGTTCAGACGCCTCCTCCTGCTCGCCGCCGAGGACGCCCCCCTGTGCCCCCCCCCTCCCACGCGGCCCCAGCAGCAGCCTTCATCTGGGTCACGTCGCGGAGGAGGCCGCAGGCAGGCGTCACAGCCCCCTCAGGCCGCACGCCCCGCTAAACGCCAGGCAAAGCGACGTTCCTGAGACGGGCTGCTCAGTGATGAAGTCGAGTGTTTCCCAGGAGGCGGTAGCAGGCCCCCTCCTTCCCCCGGCGGAGGGCCGGGGGAGAATCTTTTGTTCTCAGCTCCCCGCTGCTCACCCACGGGTGGGCAGCACCCTGAGTTGGTTAAAGAAAGACTTGACATCATCACTGAGCACACAGACAGGAATGGGTGCGCTCGACGTCCCAGTGCGTCGACCCGCTCATTCCTCTCTGTCTCTGAGGGTGCGGAAGGGAGCATGTGTCATCCCTCGACTACGCCACTCCTCTCCCCCTCTATCGCCAGACCCCCGGCAGAACAGACCCCCGTGGAACGTGCGTCCTTCCCTGGTCTCTTCTGTCTGGGAGCGGGGTTCGACTGTGCATCCGTGCGGGGTAACTCCTGTGTGCATGCCAGTCTCCCCGTCTCGCTGCCCCTTCGGGGGGACGTCTGTGGTTCGTATGACCCCGCTGGTACAGTTCCTGGGAGCTTGGCTAGAGCTCCCCGGCCTGTCCCGCTGGGTCATCAGAACGATCAGATTCGGCTACGCGATTCAGTTCGCACGGTCTCCTCCCCGTTTCAGGGGAGTTCGCTCCACGATGGTCGGTGGCAATTCCCCGGTCATGAGAGCGGAGTTTGCGACCCTGCTGGCGAAGGGTGCAATCGAGACGGTCCCTCCAGCCGAGATGAGGTCCGGGTTCTACAGCCCCTACTTCATTGTCCCCAAGAAAACCGGTGGGTTACGACCGATCCTGGATCTGCATATTTTGAACCATACTCTTCATCGACTCCCGTTCAAAATGCTCACAGCCAAACGTATTTTCGAATGCGTTCGGCCTCAGGATTGGTTTGCAGCGATCGACCTGAAGGACGCGTACTTTCATGTCTCCATTTTGCCTCGACACCGACCGTTTCTTCGGTTTGCTTTCGAGGGCCAGGCATATCAGTACGCGGTTTTCCCATTCGGGTTAGCTCTGTCCCCTCGCGTCTTCATGAAGATCGTCGAGGCAGCCCTTGTTCCCCTTCGCGAACACGGGGTTCGCATCCTGAATTATCTCGACGACTGGCTGATACTGGCACACTCTCGAGAACAGGTTTGCGAACACAGAGACCTGTCACAGAACGCTCAACGACGCCTCCTCCTGGTTTCATCAGATCCCTCTCTCCTGCATATTAGAACTTCTTTCCCTGCTCATTATCCCCTGATTAATTGCCCATCATCTCATCAGCCCCACCTGTGCACCCTTCAGCTCCCCTTTATCTGGACTGCTATGTTCTTTGTTCATTTGTGAAGTCTTGTTTTACCGTTACTCTGTCTCATGCACGTTTCCTTGTATTTGCTCGGGTATTTTGATCTTGGACTGTGTTACTCGCCTTTGAACCTCTGCTGCCTGCCCCTGACCTTAGCCTTAGCCTTAGTTTAACACTGGAGGAGTTGTAAAATGAGCCTATTTCCAAAAAAAGTGGAGTATCCCTTGAACTATTTTTTTATCAGGATAAAAAAATAAAAGATTATTACATGAATTGAGATTTGATTGTTTACATCAAGAATCGCAAAAACAACTTTAGATCAGGCATATTACTGGGGTCCTAAGCTGGGACTCAGCGCTTCACCACACTGGAACCAGATGTTTCCATGGTAACGGCAGGGGCGTAATTTGCGGGTGAGACGGGTCCCACCCTGAGATTTGTTCCCGCCCTGAACAAATCTATATGCCGACATTCACCCACAGTCATAGCGCCACCTAGTGGCAACAGGAAGTGAAATTTAACGAAGCAGCCCCCGCCGCATGTTTGACCGACATGTACGAAATTTCTCTGGTATATCTACCATGTCCAGACGCACAGAAAAGTCTCTTGGAGCGATGCCCTAAATTCAACAGGAAGTCGGCCATTTCTAATTTTACCGCCATTTTTGGATGATTTACTCATTACCTACTTTAACGAACTCCTCCTAGGGATTTTGTCGTATCGACTTCAAATTTCTGCTGTGCCTTCTAAAGGCATTGACGATGTAAAGTTGTGCTATCTGTGCGTTTTCGTCAATGGGCGTGTCCGTGGCGTCGATGATTCGCCATGAAACAGGAAGTTGTAGTAACTTGGCTGTAAATGCCCAGATCTGCATGAAATTTTACACATTTGATAATAGTCCCGCCCTGAACAAATCTACATGCCGACATTCACCAACAGTCATAGCGCCACCTGCTGGCAACAGGAAGTGACCTTTAATGAAGCGTAGCAAATTCACAGCCGCACCGGCTGAGCTCCAGAATATGCAACGCGGCCGCCTCACAACCCGATGCGCTACAGGTGCGAGGGCCCGCCCATCGCTGCTTGCAGCTTTAATTGTTATTTAAATTTCCCAAAGTATCAGTTTCTGTTGATGGACACAAATGTCTGAATCTCATATTTAATGTTTGTGGTTGATGCCGTTAAACGCTGACGATAAAATGAGTGTGAAACTAATAACAGCACTGACAGTGATCAGAGGAAAATGAGTTTGATCAACAGGATGAGTGTCATAATTCATAATAATCTGTGTTGGGTTCACTGTTGATCATTATATGAAGATCAGAATTAAAGCATGTGTTGATTGTGTCTCATCAGCTCCTGTGATTCTGGATCCAAACACTGCAGATCAACGTCTCGTCCTGTCTGATGATCTGACCAGTGTGAGACTCAGAGGGATCAATCCAACTCTTCCTGATAATCCAGAGAGATTTGACTGGTGTCTCTGTGTTCTGGGTTCAGAGGGTTTTAACTCAGGAACACACTGCTGGGATGTGGACGTTAAAGAGAGTTCAGACTGGAGTCTTGGAGTAACTTCAGCATCAGTCCAGAGGAAGGGAGGCGTTTTCTTCAAAACTGAAAAGAGTGTCTGGAGAGTGTCTTACGGATATATAGGTTCTGGTTTTCTTATTGAACAGAAGCTTGATCGTGTGAGAGTGAATCTGGACTATGATGGAGGAACAGTGTCGTTCTCTGATCCTGTAACTAACACACATCTACACACATTCACAGCCACCTTCACTCACACACTCTTTCCATTCTTCTGTTGTTATCCCTCTCTGAGGATCTTACCGGTCAACACTCAGTAAAGTTACTCCTGTAGATCTGGATCTTCCTGCTTTCATCATGTTTCCAATATTTACTCCATATCTCATGAGTAAGAGTGCTGTAGATCTGAGTATCAGTACGGCTGCTGTGATTGGGCCGTGATGATCACATGACTGATATCCAGCACTACAGCAACACACACTGTCTGCATGTGCTTTAACAGATCAATAAACAACTGTGTAGTTTCTCACTAATTTTCACATTATTATATCATATATTTTCTGTAAACTGAGCCTAATTCTACACAATGAATAATTGTATATTTCAGTTTAAATGATCGCTTTCTCAATTAAGTACATGGATGTAAAGGAAATGATAAACATTATAGGAAGATGATGTTAATATTTCTCAACCGATTTCAGTGGTTTATGATTTATGTGGATTATGAAAAAGGTTCAGTCTGAAATTATTAAGAATCTCGCTGGTTTAGAGCTTGACATTTTGAAAATAATACAAATTTTTTCCCCTAGTTTTAATTTTTCAATTATTGCAGTATTTCAGATTAAAGGTTCTATCATTGATTTCAGGCCCAAACAAAAATGATCACATTCATCTAATCTGTGTTGTTTGTTTTTGTCGCTTTAAGAAATGCATGTGCATGATAGTCTTTTTCATGATGCATGAAACAGGAGGGAGGGGCGAGTTAACTTGTTTTGTTTGGGATCTGCTTCAAACACAAACAGACGTGACGTTACCCACAATGAAACAACCTTTAACCCTTTGGGCTTCTTCGGTCAAAAATCGAACGAAAACTGTTACGTTTTGAAATGTTTAATTTTTTTGCTTCATCGTAATAAAATCAATAAATGAGAAAAAATCTCACTCAAATGCGCACTCACACACACACACACAATTTTAAGAATATGCAAAATAAAATCAAATTAAAAAAAATCTTTCTCAAATGCACACACGCACGCACACACACACACACACACACAGAGAGAGAGAGAGAGAGAGAGAGAGAGATTTACTGGTAAGACTGCAACAGCAAATTTTAAGAAAATGCAAAAAAAATAAACAAAAAATTTAAAAGAGACTCGTACAAATGCGTGTCCACACACACACACACACACACACACACACAGATAGAGAAAATTAAATTAATTAGCAATATTTTATGTTTATTTCTGTTCGATCATAATTGCTGTTCCCTTATGAAGTTTTTACTTATTGAATAAAAAATCAATAAAAAATACCAATTTATTGCAAAATGTCTGTAAAGTGTTCTGAATTATCACTAACCATCCCTTATTTTGTTCAATTATTTGAATGATCAAATACTGAGTAACAAAAATGTTTGCATTGTGTTCCCTTTCTAACCAAATGCTATAGTTTGATTATAATCAAAATGCAAAACCTGATACTTATCTAAAAAATTAAAAAAAAAAAAAAAAATTAGTTGTCTTTTATAATATTTAAATGTATTTCTAAATTTAAAAAAAACCCAGAATGAGATACAACCCTAAAACAACAACAGGAATCAAAAAGCCTTCCTATGTATTTATATTGGAAGCTATAGGCAGCCTACAGGCTGTACAGGACATTGCTCACATGTAACTATTTTTTAAAGCCACAAGGTGGCGCTCTTCTACTTTTTATTAAGCTTGCACTCCATTTTGATGTGAATGGGCTCTATGCACGGCGGTATTTCTGGTGAAGGTGTAAGGATGCTTGATACCTTCCGCTGATCGTAGAGTCCAATGCAATACCGAGAATTGATATTGAATTTATCTGTTTCACAAAAACAGATAAAACAGACACCCCTCGTTGTGTTTATGCTTCTTTTTAAAATTATATTAAATAAACATAACTATATATAAAATTACATCTAAACATATGTACGTTTCGTTTCAAAGACGGGAGGACAGTAAATTTTGAAGACTCTGCCACAATCCCGTTTTCCTCGGTGTTCCTCCTCTTTAATCTCCACAACCGGAAATGGACGAGCATCCTTGCGTCAAATGCGGAATTTATGCGTGCATATAGCCCATTGTTGCATTTATTGAAAAAAAATTTAAATAAATATAAAATAAATATATATATTAATCCTAATGGAAAAATAGCTCTTAAAAATTATATAATTAATGCAAAGTATCATAAAAAACTCTGAAACTCTGAAAATTCGAAATAATAATCAGAAAATATTATAGAACAAAAATATATTTGAACGGTTATCCTGGGTAAAAGAAAAGTTAAATTTTAAGGCTTCGTCCGTTTTTGACCGGGAGGAAGCTAAGTGCAACCCATTTACGAAGAAGCCCAGAGGGTTAAAATTTTGAGGGTGAGGAAAAACGTGTCGTTTCTTGTGTGTCCCTTTAAATGCAAATGAGCTGCTGCTCCCGGCACAGAGGGCGGAGCTCCAAGAGCCAGAGAGAGTTTCTGCGTTCAAGTCCTCCTGGGAAGTTCGTACGTACGAGGTGGGAAGTCGTGTTTATGACGTGAGGTGCGTTCAAGTCAGTTTCGTCGGAGCGAAATGGCGGTGTACCTTCTTTTAATGAATTACACGAAAATACAGCAAGGTTTGTTGTACCTCACACACACACTGACAATTTTTCAAAAACTTTTAGCCTTTCATGTTCAAACTGGAGTCGGACAAAGATGGAGAGACTCAAGAAGAAGTGACAACTTGTATAAGCAACAGGACGTTTCTGAATGGTTAGTTGATTAATTTATGTACTGATGTGGAGTTAACTATCTTTAAGTCTTTGATTAGCATATTCTGTCATAAAAATCTGTAAATGTGTTCCCGGGGGTGGGGTTTATGTAAATTTAGCCGTTTCCAGCCGTTTGTTGTAATCCTTATAAAGAGATTTCTGTAAAAGCAAATATATCGATTTGCTTTGAACTTTGAGTGTTGCAACTTTGCAGATGTTGTTTATGCTCAAACAGCAACATCACACACTGACTAAAGTTTAAAAAGTTAACTTTAACCACCTCTTTAACTTGTCTGGCTTCATGCTGTCAGAAGCTCATATTTTAAGTCACAGGTGTTCTCTCGCCGTTACTCACATTATACTGGTGCATCTGTAACGGAGGCCAGCTAGTAGTTGCTGTGCAAGTAAACCTCACTCCTCTAATCTCAATAGGTGCTCTAGCGACAGACATTAGAGGCTGCAGTCTTTAGCCTCCTTGTTAGAGCGCCCGACTCTCATGCCGGAGACCTGGGTTCGAGGCTCGAGTAGGACCTGGGTCAAGGGGTTACACATCCAAGAGTGAGATACTGTGTACCTCATCATATTATTGATGTATACCTCATCTTTTCACTGTCTACACTGGACACAAAGCCTTTGCCTTCAGTGGAAAGAAATTAGAGAGGGTAAAAACACAATTTCCTCACTTTATTTCTCAGAATATGTTCACTGCGTTCGTCCACATACTGTTCATCCAGACAGGATTATAGACGAGTGCACTATTTGTGCAGTTTTAATTTGATAATGTTTATGTCATTAGTGTGTGATTGACCCTTGGTCTGCATTTGTTGAAAGCATGTTTGTGTTTATTGGCGTCCAGTGTTTGTGTTCTCAGTTCTGTGTGGGGTCGATCACTCTCCCCATAAACAACAGGCTAGAAGTGGCTTCATGGTACAGAAAGAAGAAGAAGGGCCTGTTGATGATGAAAGTGGCTGGCAGAGAATAAGCCGTGATTCCCACTGATGTGGCGGAGGCTGCGCTGGTACCTTTCTCATTCACCTCGATGACGGCTTTATGCAGCACCTGCACAAGACAAACACACGTAATAAAGCACTAATGGCTACGTTTACATCCAATGTTGTGAATTTAAGGTGAGACACCCAGGGTGGATAGGGTAAAAAAATAACTAATAGACATCATACTTCACCAGTTGATAATTTTTTGTATTACAAGTTTTGTGAAATTGTATGTTTAAAAATGCAAATGAGGCATTATCTAATTAAATATTAAGGCCATTCCAGCGGTACAGTGGTTGTGGCAGTAGGGCGTAATGTCTCCGTTCCCTCCACAGGGAACAAGGGTTACGTACGTAACCGAGACGTTCCCTTTTGTTCAGTCACTCCGAGTTACATCAGTGACTGATGAAATGGGGGTCCCATTTAATCACGCCACAGCGGCTCTCTTCCAGTGCCCTGTGCAAGACTGAGCTCCCTGTTGTGAGACTAGCAAGGAAGAAAGGCTTGGCTTAACGCAGGAATACCAAGGTACACTGGGTGGCTTATCCCAGGAGGAATATGAACACAGCGCCTACCTGTAGGAAGGACTTGGAATACACATATGACCCGAGTGCGGGATGCATATGGAGAACTTAGAGGTATCCAGCCCGCAGGGTAGAATGTTTCAACCTCGAGGCAAGGGAAAGACACAAGCTCGGAGGAGACTTACCGTGGAAACACACATGTGGGGGTTACCCAATGGGGAACCATGCACACGGAGGCACCTAGCCAATCACAAGGCTGACCGACCGGGCATGCACTACGGTGACGGCATCAACAGTGCAGGAGGAACTCAGGGTCTATGAAGAACTTGTTCGAGTAAAATAACGCACATATCCAGTCCGTGTAGTGGAATGGTGCTGCAGGTGATGACTACTGGCTAGTGGAAGCGAGTACATGAGAGGACATCCCCAGGCTCCACCCAGAGATTATAGAATCTCACAAATGTGTTGGGTGTCTCCCAGCCTGCAGCTCTCCAGATGTCTGTTGATGAGTATCCTGGTGGAGTATCTGGGTGGAGTGTGCCTTCATAGCTGGGGGGCATGGTCGACCCTGCGTCTGGTCACCTGCAACATTGCTTCTGAATTTTTAAGCATCACAGAATCTTTTAACTTTACTCAACAAGTCACTGGTCCTGTGCACAATAAGGAACATACACTCGATCTAGTTCTCTCTCATGGTCTAAATACTAGCAATATTTGTATTGAAGATGTATTTCTTAGTGATTACAAATGCATTTTATTTGATCTTGCTTATAATGAGGACCCTCTGCCTGTTTCGCGAGTGTCTTGCTCTCGCATGGTTAACAGGCTTGCTGTTGAGAATTTCTCAACCTATTTTGACTCAAGCTTGGTTTTTATCTCAGATGATGACATTTCTGTACAGCCTTTACGGTGTCCACAGAATGTTTCATTTCAGATTCTGCTCCTCTGTCTTGTGTTGTGCCGCAAGGTTCTGTGCTTGGCCCCCTGCTGTTCAGTCTGTATATGCATCCCCTTGGAATGATTATAAGGAGTTTT